AACATATATTCTTGTTTCTATGTTGCCTAAGGTAAATATTATAAATTTAACCCAATTTATTTATAAACAAGTTGATGCTTCCAAGATGACAGCTGGCATTGTACGAAAAGATTTATCATAATTTACTTAGGCAACATATATTCTTGTTTTTATGTTGCCTAAGGTAAAAATTATATATTCAACCCAATTTACTTAGGCAACATATATTCTTGTTTCTATGTTGCCTAAAGTAAACAAATTGATGCTTCCAATGTGACAACTGGCATTGTACAAAAGATTTATCATAATTTACTTAGGCAACATATATTCATGTTTCTATGTTGCCTAAGCTTAAAAACATAATAACTCCTGGTAGTTGAATGGCATAAGTTTTAAGGTTGACAACTGGCATTGTACGATAAATCCATCACATTTACTTAGGCAACATATAATCTATTGTGCTTGTTGCTTTAGAGCTTTCTTAGGCAACATATATTATTGTTTCTATGTTGCCTAAGATGAAAATCARCTATAAATATWTGTAGWTCCCCCATTTCCAACATCTAACCTTCATTTCCAACATTTTGTTTCTAAAGGCTTGGGACGTGATTTGGAGTATATTGCCGAGTTTTGTCTTCCAACAAACGTTGTATTCATCATCAAAAGTCATTTAAAGATTATTAGGTAATTATTATCGTATTTTGTCTAATTTTGTATTTATTTTATGTTTATCTCATGTAAATTTGGATTATTACGTGTCTAAAAATATCTATAGCTCTTACTATATGCATGCATTTATTTTTCACATATACATATGACAGAAAATGTGGACAAAAGTTGGATGAATTTAAAAAGATACGAGGAAAGTAAGTAAACTTGAACTTTTGTTTTCTTGCGATCATGATTTTTATATTTTTTTCATTTGCTGTCCAGCATCACTTTTTCACCTTTGACGCATGTTTTAGCTTAGAATTAGCCTGAATTTATAGAAACTCAAAACTTAAAAGTTGTAGGACCATTTGTTAGCTTTCCAGATCATCTTTAATCACTTAAATCCGAGCTCGGACGAGTGATATATGCTCGAAATACCATAGTCTCACAAAGCTGTCAAAAATATTCTTTTATCCCTTTTTCGTTCCAACTTTTCCAAACCTTTAAAAATATAAAAACACATTAATTTAGTTCGTTTTTTTACCGTTTCAACTCATTAATAAGGGATGATTGACGGGAAATATATAATTGTAATAAACACAATTATTTGAATCGTATTTACAGAAATTTATTGAGGAAGAGATTGAGAAGATTAAGAACGTCTCTGAAGGCACTCCGGAATCTGCCGGGACTCCAATTCGTTGCCCAATTGAAAAAGAAATATCAATCATCGAGCAAATTGTTGGTCCATCGGTAGGTACGGTTGTTCGAGGTATGGGTAGCTTGGCGGTTAGACCTGCGAGTATGAGAGGACCGGTGAAGGGATTCTCTAAGCCGGTATCTGTAGTTGATGAGGAAAATTTGCGGCAACAACTTGCCGGGCGTGACGAGGAGATTAGATTGTTAAAAGAGGGACAACAAGAGGCAAAAAAGGAAGCTGCCGAGCAAAGAAAGATGATTCAATCATTGATGACTATGTTGGGTGCTAGTGATTAAAACTCTAACACAACAACCCCGACCTCTCACGCTTTAGGTTAAGTTTTTAATTTTGTGTTATGGAACTTGTTGCCTACTTTTAGACTTATTTAGGAAAAAACAATTATCTTTCAATTATTGAACTTATTAATTTTGTTTGGTTATAAAAGTTGTTTGTATACAGCATTTGGTTGTTTGTTTGCTTGTTTGAGATTCATTTGTAGAAAGTGTGCAAGAAAAAAATTGCATCATGGTACACAAAAATCTTAGGCAACAACAATATAAATGTTGCCTAAAAGAAATATTATATTATGTTAATTACAGTTTGAAGGCAACATATCTAAATGGAGTATGTTGTCTAAGCTGATATCTTAGGCAACATATTCTGATCGAGTATGTTGTCTAAGCTGATATCTTAGGCAACATATTTAGATAGAGTATGTTGTCTAAGCTGATATCTTAGGCAACATATTTAGATAGAGTATGTTGTCTAAGCTGATATCTTAGGCAACATATTCAGATAAAGTATGTTGTCTAAGTTGATATCATAGGCAACATATTCAGATAGAGTATGTTGTGTAAGTTGATATCTAAGGCAACGTATGTTTTTTACTTAGGCAACATAACCTTTTGTGTGTTGCCTAAGAAGCCCGCTTAGGCAACATATTCTGTTTGCATATGTTGCCTTGGTTCTTATACAACATTGAAAAGGCAACACTGCTTAGGCAACACGGGTTTGTTGCCTTAGCCTTACGCAACATATAAACTCCTCTTAGGCAACATTTTTCATTTGTTGCCTAAGTGACATTTTGAGGTAGTGAGATTTTGAATTGAAATTTTTAGGTTTTTGGATTTTTGTGACATTAATTTGGTATGATCTAGTAATATTTTATATATATATGGGCATGTTCAAATAAAAACAGTGCATTTCTAAGAAACCGTGTAAACCAATTTCAACCAATAGAAAATTTTTATTTTTTTCTAATTAAATTTAATCAATAAGGGTATTTCGGTCATTTACAATATTTTCTATTAAATATGGAAGTTATTAATAAATCTTAATTAAGGAAACGTAATAAAGGAAATTATATAAGTGGTAACATTTAAATATTTAATTATATTATAATATTAAAAATTTGAATTTGATATATTGTTATGAGATTGAATCTGCAAACGGGTCT